CATGATGGAAAGAAAGTTTCTTTGGTTGTCCTCGCAGAAAAATCTTCTTTTGATTGGGAGTTCTCAAATGCCACGAGTGATGATGGCTGCATCCAGCCTGCGGTTCTGGAATGGGAGGACGGCGATCTCGTCATGATGACGTCGTGTGAGGACGGCAGCCGCAGGGTTTACTGGTCAAGCGCCATGGGGAGATGGTGGATGGAGGAATACGGCACTCTTTCACGCGTGTGGGGCAATTCGCTGAATCGTACAGGGCACGGCGTGCAGGGTGGCTTTGTCAGCGCGAGGATCGATGGACAGAGAGTCATCCTCGTCAACCGGCCGGCATATTTCGGGGAGGCGGGAAAAGAAACGGGCCGACTTCACTTGTGGCTGACGGACATGCAGCGCATTTATGATGTTGGGCCGATATCCGCTGAAAATGAGAACGTCGCCGCCAGCACTCTGCTGTACGCCGCTGACGAAGTGCCGTCATTGGAGGAGGGAGAATCGAAGGAAGTAGAGGGAAGACTGTACTGCTCTTACGAGGTTGCTGCTGCAGAGGACGGTAAGTACAACATTGCTTTTCTGGACTTGACGGAGAAATTGGAGGACGTGAAGAAGGTGTTGGCTGCTTGGAAGGAGAAGGACGCGTACATTGTGAAGGAATACGGCTGCACGGTCGAAAGCAATGGTAAGAAGCGCCGGGAATTTGGTGTTGTTGGTGACCTCACGAAAGGGCTGGTTGGCTTCTTATCCAGCACGTCAACTGACAGCACGTGGAGGGACGAGTACCTCGGGGTGAACGCCACAACAACGAAAGTAACGAGAGGAAAAGTGACCAGCACGGAGAAGGGCGTGAAGTTCCAGGGAGCGTGGGCGGAGTGGCCTGTTGGCAGTCAAGGGCAGAATGTGCCGTACCATTTTGCGAACCACAAGTTCACTCTTGTGGCGACGGTGTCCATCGACGGTGAGCCGAAGGGAGATACCCCCATTCCATTGTTGGGTGTGAAGCTGAGTGAAACCGACAGCCCGCTGTTTTTTGGTCTTTCGTACACCCACGACAAAAAGTGGATGGTGGCATTCAACGGCAGTTTTAAGGCACCGTCGCATGATGACGATGTCGAATGGAAACCAAACACGAAATATCATGTGGCACTGCATATGGATTCTGATGATGGGTTGATGGTGTACGTGGATGGAGAGACGATATACGACAGCGAAGATGAGGTCTATGGACACGAGGACGATGAGGATTATGAGAGCTTTCCTCAAAAGTTAAAAACGCTGTTGAGGCCCCACGGCATCTCGCACTTCTACATTGGCGGGGACGGCAAAAGCGAATCGGGCAACATTGATGTGACGGTGAGCAACGTCCTGCTGTACAACCGCGCATTGAAAGATGATGAACTTAAAGCGCTAACGAAGGCGGACGCTGTTGGCACTCCAGAGGCGAATGTTCCGTCTTTGAAGGGTGCGCCTCAAAGCACTCATGCGAGTGAAACTCTTATTCAACCTGACAGTGAGACTTCTGTCATAAAAGAAGTGAAGCAAGACGCCACGTCATCACAGCAGAGACAAGACGCACCAGATCGGCCACCAGAAGAGAAAAATAAAAAGGCCGCTGCTTCGGTCACGTATTCTGACAGCCATGCCGTGGCCGACACAAAGAGGAGGGAGGAGCAGATGGAGAAAGCGGCAACCGATGTTGATGACCTGCCGCCCCCCTTGTCTCCAGCACCGGAGGCAGCCAACGGCCACAAATCACCCGATGCCGAGGATGCTCTCGGCGTGGAGCACCCTGAACAGGAGGAAGAGTCGTTGCTGCCCATCGTGGCTGGATCGACGGTGGATGAGACGAGTGAAACGGATGAGGCCATTCTGCAGAGTCGAACCTCTGACGATCCGGCGCAGCAAACCACTTTACCTCTTGTTTCAGAGGGCGTGGACGACGAGCCGTCTTCTCTCTCCACGTCCACCAGCAATCAACGCAGCGACCGCGAAGAGACGGAGGCGCACTCCCATGCTGCCGTGGGCACGAACAGCGGCCCCGACTCATCCAACACCACTGAAGTGACGACTGCGGATGTTACAACAGCCACCATTGAGCCCAACAGCGATCCAACAACTGTTCAACGCGAAGATGACGTGCCGGATTACGTTGGTGCTGCACCGAATCATCCGAGCACAGAGCCTGGGGAAAGAGATATCCAATCGGAGTCCAACGCAGCGCCGCTCTTGGGCAATGACCTTTTTGATGTGGAGAATATCACCGACTTGTTTTGTGTGGGTGTGAAGGGTGACAGCACCGTGCAGGGTTGTGTGTCTCGGGTGCTATTATTGCTGCTGCTTCTGGGGCTGTGGGGCACTGTGGCTCTCTGCTGAGGTGTGAGGGTGGGTGGAATTGCGGCGTCCCGTGGAACAACAAATGTGCAGCTTCCCAGCACAACGCACTGAATTTGTCAAGGAGACTTCTTTTTTTTCTTTTTTTTTTACTTACTTTCTTCAAAAAAAAGTTTTTCTTTTTTTCCCTTTTTTTTTGCTGCTGGTGTTCTATTGGAATAATCCGCGCCCCTGTGTTTTTCTTTTTTTAATGGTCGCTTGCTACAATCCGTCATCAGTGATGCCATTCCCCCTTTTTGTTTGTTTTTGACCACACGCGTTGCCGGCCCTGCGGCTGTGGAGTCCCACGGACTGCACGAAAGGAGGATTGGAAGAACAGGCCGGATGCCGCATGAAGTGTTGGGGATGTTGTGTGGGCTGGTGGAATAATAATGCGATCTTTTTTCTTTTTGCTTCAATTTTCTTTTTTTCTTTTTGGTGCGGGCAATATGTATATAAACACGGTTGATTTGTGCTGCTCGGCACATGAAATAAAAGACCTGCCGCATCAATTTTCTATTAATTTTTCTTTTACTTTTGTGGGTCATTCCGGACTCCCACCCATTCTTTTTTGTTTTTTCCTTTACAATGTTCACTGCCGCTGAGTGCTTACGTGTCCCGTTGAGTGTTTCTTTGCTGGCTGTGCTGTTGACATGCTTTTTTTCTTTTTTCCTGCTAGAGGCACTGATAGTCCGCGACGACGATTGTTTGTGTTCCCCATTGCGATGGCACGAGGGTGACTGGGCGCCGGCCTGCTGAGTGCACTCGGAGGGGAGCGGACTGTGTGCGCCGTGCCTCACTGTGAGTGTGGGTGCTAATCCGTCGGGGCAGAGAGAATTAAAGGGCCGCGCCGTGGAGTTGGATGCGCCCTTTCCCTCGTTGCCGCCATGTGTGTGCGCATGGCTCCATCTCGCGGTGCGACGTGGATGGCGTTGCTATTGCATGTGTCCTCGTGCATGCGCTGTGCGGCGGGCTTTTCTTCCCCATGACACCGCCCTTGTGTGTGTGCGGGACAGTGAAGGTTGTGGAGATGTGTGATGGAGTGAGGGTGGCCGTTGTTTCCGCACATTTGGGAATTCCACTCAAAGGTGAAACCTCTCGGCAGCCTCTCGCAGCACCCAAGCCGTGGATTGAGAGGATGTGAGGGTTTACTTCAAGTACACGGAGGACGACAAGATGCGGCGCATGACGGCCAACCTGGTCCGCGTGTGGTCGCAGTGCATGGAGCACGTGCGCCAGTACGCGTTGGACGTAGCGATCATGATTGGAGAGGAGAGGCGGCAAGACGTTGTGGCGCAGCGGCAGCGCATGACGGCTGCATGTGGTGGAAGGGCCCGACGATCCCGAGGCCTGTGCTGGAGGGGCGCGTGTTGAAGTGAGCGTGGCGTGTCTGTGAGGGCCTGAGGAGAGGGAATAACAGCAACAGTGACTGTGGGGATGTGAGGAACGGTGCACGTCGAGGAGCGCTCCTCTTTTGTTTTGTTTTGTTAGTTTTTGGACCGTGCCCACCCAATTCTTGCTGCTGCTGTGGCCGCGTGAGAGTGGGGGAGAGAGCCGTGCACCGCCCGCACACACACTCGTCCTTCTCTCACTGTGTGTGTGTCCCCTTGCATGGACTCTCGCCCTCACCTCACCCCACGAGGCACACACAATAATGTGCCCATTGTATATATGCATGCACACCCATGCAGGCCCGTTGGTGCTCTCTTTTGCACGACATGCACCACTGCCGTCCTGCCTGGCTGCATGGGCGGAGCACCGTAACTGTTTCTGTTTTGTTTTTATTGCATTGAGTGGGCGACCTCTCTCTCTCTCCCTCTGTGTGTGTGTTTTGCTTTACGGGAGCAATGAGAGTGTGTGCGCTGGTCGCCCCACGCTTCGGCTTTTTGTTTTGTTTTCCTTTTTGATTTTGTGGTTGAGTGCACCCATTCCGCGGCTGCGTGTGTGTGTGTGTGTGTGATGATATGAGTAATTTGCGTGTGTGCCATCTGCCTCTCTCTGCTGTAGCTTTCTTCAGACTCTCTCGTATCGCAAGGCAGCTCCGCAAGTTTAGGCTTTGAAAAACACACGGACAAATGCGCAGAATCTCTTTGTTTCACACGCTGTGGAGTGGCGTGGACGCTGAGAACGCACGCACGCACAATATTTTGTCTGCGGTTGCTCTTGCGAGGAAGGAGGTCGTGAGCCCGCGATTTGCCTCGTTGACGTGATGCGGTTGTTATTTTGGCGGCGTGCAGCAATTGAATGGTGTGGCGTTGAGGATGTCTGGGACGAGTGCCTATCGACTTTCCCCCAACAGCTGTACCTACCGACGTGTCTCTCCCGTCGTGGTTTTGTCGACGAGGAATTCTCCGGCTGTGTGGAATGATGTGCAGGAGCGTTAGGGGAGACAGTAGCCAAATGACTGGCGGCAGCGCATGAGTGCTGTGAAGGATGGTTGTGCCCTTTTGCCTCCCGCTGGTTGCTTTGTGTGTGGACGTTGTTCAGTGTCTGCTGACGCGTGACGAATAACGACGCACCCGCTGTGGCTCCTGCTGCTTCTTCTGGTGGTGACCGTCGCTGTGTGTTCCCGGTGCACTGTTCTTCCATCTCCTGTTCCGTGTGTCTGTGTGCGTGAGTTGTTGTTGTTGGGAGTGACTGCGGTGGGGATTATGATTATGCCACTCACTGTGGATGGGTGGCGGTGCTTACTGTGTCACCTCTTTTCTTGGCATGTTTCTCTATTTCTCCCTCAATCACACACGAAGAAAACAAACAAGCGCTAATCGCTACTGTGAAATTCGAAGGCGCTGAAAGGACCAACAGCACACACACCGCCCACACACAGATATTTGTATGCTCTCACGTGTTGCTGCAGTGAAGGCACCCCGCACACACAACCGTTGCCGCGTGACCGGATCGAGCGGCAGGAGGAGGGAAGGAAGAGAGAGTGAGCCGCAGAGGCCCAACATGTCCCGGCGTGTGTTTACTTCCGCGGTGCTGCTACTCGTCTTGATGATGTGCTGCAACACTGGTGGGGCTGCGACCGCTGAGGAACCAAGTCAGGGAGCTTCGTCAGTAAAATATTATTTTTGGAGAGACGTGGAAGGTGGAGAAGAAACAGTGAGTTCGTTACGTGTTCCCAGTCTTGTTGAAGTGAATGGTGAAGTGTTTGCCGTTGCCGAGGCGCAGTGCAAGGAGGGTATTGAAAATGCCTTTACTGGGATTGCCTCGGAGCTCCTGGCGTTGACTGGTGAACAAGCAAAAGAGGAGTTGAATAAAAGCAAGCTGAAGACACAAGTACTGGAGAAATGTTCTTCCGAAGGAGAGAAAGTTACCTGGCGTATAGCGGATCGGGCTGATTCCTAAAAAGTGAAGAATTTACATGTGAGCCGACCAACTACAGTCGTGCGGGGAAGTGATATTTACATGCTTGCTGGAAGTTACAGCTGGACACTTACCGCCGATGATCAGGCAGGTGGCTGGGGACTCATGCTGGTGAAAGGGAACGTCAGTAAGAGGGAAGACGAAAGTAACAAAAAAATATTTTGGAGTGACACTTACGCTATCCCGTGGAGTTATAAAGGCAACCAAAATGAATCTTTGAAAAGGCTGGTTGGCAGCGGTGGATCGGGTGTTCAGACGAAGAACGGTGCACTTGTGTTTCCTGTGGAAGGGACGAAGAAGGAGGATGGAAAGACCGTTTCGCTGATCATATACTCGAAGGATGCTAAGAGTTGGAAGCTGTCGAAGGGGATGTCTGCCCATGGCTGCAGTGATCCCTCCGTCGTGAAGTGGGAGAAGGACAAACTCATGATGATGACTGCGTGTGATGATGGCCGCCGCAGGGTGTACGAGTCCGGTGACAAGGGGGAGTCGTGGACGGAGGCACTCGGGACACTCTCGCGCGTGTGGGGCAACAAACACACGGGAAATGTGTGGGGCGTTAGGAGCGGGTTCATCACAGCGACGATTGGCGATAACAGGGACGTGATGCTCGTTACTCTGCCGGTGTATTCAAGTAAGGACGGCAATGGAAAGGGCGTACTCCATCTTTGGCTGACGGACAACACGCACATTGTTGATATTGGGCCGGTATCCGGAGAGGAAGAAGACGTTGCCGCCAGCTCCCTGCTGTACAAAAGTGGTGAAAGTGGAAATGATAATAATAATGGGGAGGAGTTGATTGCGCTGTACGAGAAGGAGAGCGGTGATGAGGACGCATCAATCGGTATGGTCTCTGTGTTTCTGACTGCGCAGCTGGAGAAGGTGAAGGAGGTGCTGAAGACGTGGAAGAATGTGGACGAACGTGTCTCCCAGCTGTGTTCCACTTTACTTGCTGGGAGGGATTGTTTAACTGGCACTGCCTGCAGTGCTGATATTAAGATCACGGATGGGCTGGTTGGCTTTTTGTCCGGCAACTTCTCTGAGAACACATGGAGGGACGAGTACCTCGGGGTGGACGCCAAAGTAAAGGGGAATGATGGGGCAACAGAGGCTTCCGATGGTGTGAAGTTCCGGGGAGCGTGGGCGGAGTGGCCCGTTGGCAGTCAAGGGGAGAATCAGCTGTACCACTTCGCGAACTACAACTTCACCCTTGTGGCGACGGTGTCCATCGACGGTGTGCCGAAGGAGGGTTCTCCCATTCCTTTGCTTGGTGCGAAGATGGCTGGCGATGGAAAAAAAACCAAGCTTATGGAGTTGTCATACGACGGTGGAAAGAAGTGGATATTACTGTGCGGTGACGGAACCCCTAAGGAGCTCAGCAGCACTTGGGAGAAAGGGAAAACTCAACACGTGGTACTTTTGATACGGAACGGCAGCGATGTCTCCGCGTACGTCGATGGTCAGCGTGTGGGTGGGGATGAACAATGCGAATTGAAAACTAAGGCATCGAAAGTAATCTCCCACTTCTACATTGGAGGGGATGGAGACAAGACACGGGAACAAGAAGACGTGTCTGTGACTGTGAAGAACGTCCTGCTGTACAACCGTCCGTTGAGCTCTGAAGAGATTACTGCGCTTACCCCGAATAAAGCTCCCACTCCATCTTTGGAAGAGAAGCCGTCGGATCCTTCAACCGTTTCTTCTGGTTCCGTTGTACCTCCCACTCCTCTGGTGACCCCGAATGATCAGCAAACCGAAACTCCGTCTACTCCTGCCGGAACACAGCTGACGGAACAGGGACAGTCGATGGGGAGCAGTAAAGGTGCGGGCAGTGGCGGTGCATCCACAACAGCGGTGTCCACTGTCAGTACTCCCTCAGCAGAAGAGGAGTCCGTAGTACAGGTGACGTCAGGAAAATCTCTCGATGGAACTAAAACGATGGGTGGCGGTTCTACTGCTGTTGGCGAGCCAACGATGCAGACAAGAGAAGGAGGAACGAATGGGCAGGAGGAGGAGTTTAACACACAGGACAGGGACGTGAATGCTGCGGCGCTCAGCAGCAGCCTCGTAAATGTGTCGCAGAGGAATAACAGGTGATGCCGGCAGCATGCGTGGTAGCGTACTGCCGCCATCGCTGCTCCTTCTGTTGGGACTGTGGGGGTTTGCGGCTCTGTGAGGAGTGACTGGCTGCCGCGTGGGACACTTGCGACCCCCGCTGCACAGACACACACACCTGGCCATGAATTTCTTTTCCTAAATAATTTTTATTTACTTTTCTTGCTTTATTTGCGTTTTTAAATTGTTGTTTTTCTTTTTTTTATCTCTCCCTCATGCCTTCTTTTTTGCTTTTGGGGGCAATCACTTTGGGCGTTTTCTTTTCTACTCTTCCCTCTTTAATTGTTTGTTGCTGCACTCTTCCTGCGAGGGGTGCCGTGTGTTTGCCGCCCAACTGCTCCACTCGCACACCCACCGACACGCTCACGACGACGGCCCTGTGCGCCTCGCCTGCTGCACGCATAAGGAGGGGCCGCGACGAACGGCGCGCTGAGGGAGCCGTGACGTGTGGGCGTGCGACGAGGGCCTGTGGGGCGGAGCACACATTTCTTTCCCTCTTGTTTTGTTTTGTTTGCGGCCAGGGCGGGCAGACACCCGCAGCGCCACACACACAGCCACACCCTGCCGCCGTGTTTTTCTTTTTTTTGTTTCTTTTGTTTTGTGGATGGGTGTGTGCCGCTGCGACCGTGCGGCGATGGATGGCGGAGAGCTGTGCCGGACGTATTGCCGACGGACCACTGTGCATCCTCAGTGACTTCCTTACTTAATGGCTGTCTGCTGCACTCTGTAATGAGCGAAGTGTTTGTCCTCTTTTTTTTTCTTTACTGCCCACACGCGGTGCCGGCTCTGCTGCTGTGCGTCCCATGGACTGCATGAAACGACGATTGGAAGAACAGGCCGGATGCCGCGTGAAATGTTGGGGATGCTGTGTGGGCTGGTGGAACAGTAAATTCCTTTGTTGACTTCTTTTTATTGTTGAGGGCAATATTTATACACAAACACACGGTCATATTGTACTCCTTGGCACATGAAATAAACGTCTTTCCGAATCATTGTTTTTACTTTTTTATGTTGCTTGGGAGTTCTTCTGGACTCTCACCTTTTTTGTTTTTGGTAAATCACTGCGGTTCATTTTCTTTGTTTTTGCTGTGTTCACTGTCGCTGAGTGTCTCCGCGTCCCGTTGAGTGTCCCACTGCTGGCTGTGCTGTTGACATGCCTCATTTCTTTTTTCCTGCTAGAGACACTGATAGTCCGCGACGACGATTGTTTGTGTTCCCCATTGCGATGGCACGAGGGTGACTGGGCGCCGGCCTGCTGAGTGCACTCGGAGGAGAGCGGATTGTGTGCGCCGTGCCTCACTGTGAGTGTGGGACGCCAATCCACCACTACCTGCTGTGGGGCGTAATTCCAATCTGTCGGGGAAGGGAGAAGTACAGCGCAGTGCTGTGGAGTTGTATGCGCCCTGTCCCTCTCTTTGCCGCCATGTGTGTGCGGTGCGCATGGCACTATCTTGCGGTGCGAAGTGGATGGCGTTGCCTCTGCATGCGTTGTGCGGCGGGCATTTCTTCTCCATGTCTTTGCCCTTTTGTGTGTGGAAAAGTTGTGGGAAAGGATATGTGTGCGGGAGTGAGCGTGGGTGGCTGCCAGCCTCGCCCTGCGCATTGGAGAATTCCATACACGTGGCTCTGCTTGACGGTGTTTCGCGGCACCCAGGGTGTGGCGAGGATGAGGATGGGGAAGGTCTGTTGTGGGCAGAAGGTGGATGGATGACACAGTCCCCTTCCGTGTCCTTCCCTGTGTTGTTGGCAGTACATACTGAGAGCGTAAACTTGAGCGAGTGCGGTATGAAACGTTTATTCCGCTTTGTGCGTACTACTCAATCGTCGTCATTGCAGGCGGTCGTCACGGTGCGTTGCGGTGCGGTGCCGTTTGATGAGGGAGGGGCGCGATGCCACGGCTGCTGCGCACCACGACCATTTATTGCCTCTGCACCGTCATTGTTGTTTTTCAGTTTGTGTGATTTTTTTCGCGCTCACATAAAGTTTTCTTTTGCTCCACGATGAATTTGTTGTGGGAGCTTTGATTTTGGTGCCTGCTTCACGGCGCTTTGCCTTGTGTGTCGGTTGCGGTGCTTCCACGTGGTGCCAAAGCGTTTGATGGGGTGTTTATTCTTCTTTTTGCGCCCTGCAGCTAATCTTGTTTGGTCATGGCAGCAGCGGTGGGGCTCTGCGACTGCGCACTTGCCATGCGTGTCTCATCTTTTGCCGCTGCTCCCTCGTTGTGTTGGTGGGGGAGGAGGCGAGCGACTGCGTCGTTGGAGTTGCGCCCCAGTGGGAGAGGGAAGGCACCGACCGCTGCTGACGGCGACGGTCTTTGCTGCAGGCGATGTGACGGGAGGACGTCACCGGTGTCACAGTCAACCGAGATGGATGAGGGCCGCACTGCGTCTCCCGCCCCTCTCATCATCCTCTCTGTCCACTGCAGTCACACGCCACACGCACCGCAGAGCAGCGTCGCGACCACCATCCGGATGTCTGTGAGCCAATTGGAATGCAAAATCGATGTGGACCCTTTTTCCCCGTGTCTGAGTGCCGCCGTGCTTCTTTATGTTTTTCCTTTGTTGTGTATGTCGGGCGCGCATGGTGTCGCTGATTGCTGTGCAATGCCGACTCGCGTGAGCGAGAAACGATGCTTTGACTGCTGGCGACCGGCGAGCTCTCCACTCCACTTACGCACCAACACCAACAACACCTTTCGGACGCGCTTGATGGCCGGCGGTCGTAACGCTGCCACGTGGTCTGCCTCGGCTCTTGTGTGTCGTGCACGGCATCGGGACCGCCCCGTGATGCAGCCACTCGGTAACAGGAGCGGTGCCAGTGGTCATGTGGCTTTTTGCCGGGATTCCGCCACTCGGCACGGTGGCTGTACGGGGTTGTATGGGCGGTGGGAGGGCGATGGTGTCACTGAATTGATTGCGTCTGCGCTGCTTTGCTTCGGCGGCTGTATTGTGATGGTTATTGTGTATGACCGGATGCCTCTGCGTGCCACTGTGTTTGGTTACTGTTGTTGTTGCTGCCTTTTATTCTTTTTTGAGCGTGCAGTTAGAGATACTTTTGCTTGACCAGCACAACTATCGTTTCAAGGCGTTAGGGATTACTTGCAGTATTAGGATTAGCAGTAGTGGGATAACTATCTGGCGGAATCGTGTCACTGGATTTGCAATCTGTAGGAAGGGATTTGCTAGGCAGGAGTTATGGTCGACGGGGCGAGTGCGACACACCACGACAGCCTTGTTGGTACTTGTCTGGGTTGGTGGATGCGGTCTGCGGTGGGTGCGTGTCCGCGCAGCCGGCACCGTGTGCAGCGCAGGGCCATTGCGGCTGTGCGTGTGGCACTGCTTGTTGTGTTGGCGCTTGTTGCGGTGGCGGCGTGGATGCCCGCGGTGCATGCGGTGGTGTTGCGACTGCGGGGCGGCACGGTGGACAGAGCCATCACGGTTGGCCGCGCCGTGGACACGGTGCTGATGGACGGCGTGTACATCACGAACGGCGTGGCTGTTGTGTTCGACGTGCCGGCGATGCTTCCCGGCGCGCTGCGCATCGAACTGAGGAACTGCGTGTGCGACGGCGGCGCGCAGATCTACGTGCGGGGCTACAGCGGCGAGCCGGCGAGTGACCGGAGCCTGGAGGTGAGCGTGAGCGGGCTGTCCGGCGGCTACTGCTCGCTTGTGTTTGTGCACAACCTGCCGGCACACACGAACGTGACGGTCCGTGACTCGACGATTGTGACGGCGGGGCCGATGCGTTACTCGCAGCTGAGCGGGCTGACGGACGCGGTGGCGTCGCCGCTTGTGCTGCACGCGACGTCGCTGTTGCGGACGCAGCTGCGTGTGAGCAGCACTGTGCTGAGGTCGTTGCAGGCGGGCGGGTCGGCGGTGCACGTTGGCGGCGGTGTGGACCTGCTGTCGAGCGCGGTGGTGCTTGACGGCGTGTTGCTGGAGGCGTCGGGCGGTTCGACCGCGTCCGCGTTGCATGTGGCGTCCTCGTCGCGTCTCAGTTTGCGGAGCCACTCGGTGTTCTCCGTGACGAACGTGTCGGTTGTGAGCAGCGGCGGCGGCCTTGTGCTTGGAGAGCGCCTCGCGGTGTCCGACTCGGTGCTGCGCTTCGTGGGCGTCGAGGGGTCAGTCGCGTCGTCGCTGGTGCGCTGCGACGGTGGGACGGTCGGTGCCGGCGGGTGGCTGGAGCTGCGCGACGTGTGGGCGGTGGGCGAGGCGTCGTCTGTGGCGTCGCTGTCGGGGGTGACGCTGAGCGGCGGTACCGTGTCGATTGCGCGCTGCGCTGCCACCGGCGTTACTCTTGTCTCCGGGCTGACGATCGCGAGCGGTGCCGTGTCGGTGCAGTGCAACCGTGCTGGCGGCCGGGTGCTGCAGAGCGGCGGCGACTACCGCTTGGCCGGCCTGCCCTCCGTGAGCGTGGTGCCGTGCGACGGCTGTGCGGCTGCGTTGGCGTGCTTTGATGCGCTGACGGCGTCGTTTTCTGACTGCGTGTGCGGCTGCCGCGGCGGCGGTGTGGGCGAGGCGTGCCTGCCGTTCGACGTGCCGGTTGCGAGGTCCGGCGGGAGTGGTGGCGGTGCGGAGGGCTGCGTGAGCGGCGTGATGCTGACGGAGTCGGTGACGGTTGGCGGCGGGCGTGCGAGGGCGTGCTTCGACTCGGTGGTGTTCAGTGGACCGATCACTGTGGCGGTGGACCTGCGCTCGATGGACGCGTTCGCTGACGCGCTGGACGTGACGCTGCGCCACTGCGTGCTTGCGGGCGGTGCGCAGCTGCGGATTGGCGGCCTCAGCGAGAGCACGGCGCGCCTGATGCCCCACGCCCTCGTCAACATGACGAATGTGACGTCGCTGGAGGGCACGATTGTGCTGCATGGCGCGACGCCGCTGCACTCGAGTGTGCTGCTGGCGAACTCAACGCTGCGCGCGACGGTTGGCGGGTCGCAGTACGTGCCGACGGCCCGTGGACACGAGGGATTTCGGTACGGCCCCGCGCTTGCCCTCGACGGCGTCCGGCTTCTGTCGACGCGGTTTGTCTTGACGCGGTCTACGCTGGTGTGTGGCGGGGGCTCGTGTGCTGCGATCCTCGTGGAGCGCGGCCTTGGCGCCAACCTGTCCAGCGTCTTTTACATGGACAACTGCGTTGTCAGTTCGCAGACACACGTGATGTACGCTCTTGCGTCGGACCTGCGCGTTGGCGGCGGCTCCGTGTTCTCCATACAGAACAGCTTGTGGAGTGCTCCGAGCACTGAATACGGCAAAGCCGCGTGTGTGTTTGAGGATATTGTTGTGGCTGGCGGCAGCGTTCTGCAGATTGTGTCCAGCACGTTCCGTCTCGGCTTCGCCATGCTCATGGCAAATACGCTGACCGTGACCGGCGGCAGCTGGCTGGTGCACCGCGACAACGAGTTCCGCACCGCCTACGTTGTGTACATAGTCAAGGAAAGCAGCGTGGCGTTCCGCGATCGGAGTGTGTGGTCGATAATTGACAACAACTTCACGTACGGCTCGTTCTCGCCCTTCACATATATGACAAGCAAGTGGTCACCACCATCCGACACGCGCCCGATCATCTACGGCGTGTGCAACGCGGCAAGGGGCTCACCTGTGACGGATTACCACTACGACCTCAATATTGGAGCACCCGTGATGGTGCTGGACTGCGGCGCGTGCACCGTGGACGCCGTGTGCTTTGCTGCGAGGACGAGCAGCATCAGCGGCTGTGAGTGCGTGTGTGCTGCTGGCGGCCACGGCGACACGTGTCTGCCAGCTGCGGTTCCGGACGGCCTTGGGCCGCTCCCGCCCCCCGACGCGAGGGACACGGAGGTCCGCTGCGTGCACGGTGGCAGCATCAGCTCTTTGGACGTTCCTGATCCCGGTGTGCGTGGTCTGTGCTTTGTCGGCGTGACCTTCACTGCCGCGATTGTGCTGGACCTGAGGAGCTTCGACGCGCCACAGCATACCCTCAACATCACGCTGCTGCATTGCGTCTTCATGGGCCTGTCGATCAAGGGGAGTGGTGCACGCGTGCACGTGAACGTGGTCTCCTCAATGCTGGATTCTGGTGAGCTGGAGTTCAGGGGTGTTTTTGGCGCGAGCTCCCAGATACTGGTGGCGGGCAGTACGATTGTGACGACGTCGGGCCACGCCATTTTATTTGTGAAGTTTACTCTCAGTGCGAATATGACGCTGCTGCTACTCGACAACTACATTGAGGCGAGTAGGTACGCAGTCTATTTCATCGGTGGTTTTGTTATTGATGGTGGGAGGATTATTGTGAAGGGAAATACGCTGAGCACAACGAAGGACGATGACGGTGTGGAATCATCTGTTTGCGTTACTTTTGTTGATGTGAGGAACGGCGGCTACTTTGACGTGGAGGACAACACGATGAGCTCGGCTAACGGCGTTTATCTTTTTGGGGATACCACCGTGAGCTCCGCGGGGCTGCTGCGAGTGGCGGACTGCGCCTTTGTCGGCAGGACAGAAATTTTTGATTCCGCGCTGGTGTATGTGTCTGGCTCGGTGACACTCGAGGGTGGTGCGCAGTGGCGCGTGGAGGGCAACAGCGTGGGTGCAGCCTCAGTATTATCTATTCCGTATTCCTGGCAAGAAATTCAGCTGTTGGGCAGCGGCACCACAGTGGCGCTTGCAAACAACCGTCAGGTGGAAGGATGCGCAGTCTTTGCCAAGCTTTTTAGGCCAAACACGATTGTTGAGTTACCCGCGCGGTTTGTGGTGGGGTGCAACCTGCAGGGTGATGAGGAGGTGTCGTACGACGATGTGTTTCCGGAGGGCGTGGTGGTGTTCAGGTGCGGCACGTGCGACGACGACGCGGCGTGCTACATGCCCGGTACGGAGTCGGTGGACCGCAGCTCGTGCTCGTGCAGCTGCAAGGACGGATGGCATGGCGCGTCGTGTCTTCCCTTCGAGGTGCCCGACGCGGTTGTGCCGCCCGTAGCGGAGAGAGCTGTTGACGGCGACACGAGCTGCGTGGTGAACCAGACGCTGACGAGCCTCGCGCTGAAGATGTGGAAGACGCACCACTGCTACGTGGGTGTGACATTCAGCGGCAGGCATTCTGTGCTGACGTTCTTCCTCAACAGCATGCCGCTGCATCTCCCCATCAACATCACGCTCACCGGGTGCACATTCCGTGAGGGTGCCGCGCTGCAGTTTGTTGGGGGTGTTGGAGCGGTCGAGTCGTCCGGCGTCCTGATCCGCGTGAGCCAGACGGTGATGCGGTCCTCCGCCGTTGCTTTTTTACGTGCCCTCCCGCAGCGCTGCGACATCGCCATCACGGAGGTTGATGCGGTGCAGGCCTTCGAGGTTCAATTGCCGGGCACTGAGAACAACATGCTGAGCGTATTGTTGTTGGACGACGTCGTGTTGTGTGCGTCGACGCTGTTGGTCAGCAACGTCAAGGCGCATGCAACGAATCGTGATGCGCTTGGTTTGTACTCGACTGGGACACTGACGCTGGTGGGTGGCAGCTCGCTGTACGCGCGGTACTGCAGCTTTGAGGGATACATACACGTGTTCTACGTGCACAGTCTCAGTGTGAGTGACCACTCCGTTTTTGCACTGCTCAACAATACGATGTTCTCCGGGGTAAGCCTGCTGCATCAGCACCAAGAATTCAGCGTGTCGGATCACAGCGTGCTGCGCGTGGTGGGGAACAGCGGCTCCGTGCGCTACGCCATCTATAACGATGACTTGTGGACTGTTCAGCGGTCAAGCTGGTTGGATTGGCGCGACAACGACGTGGAGGTGGGTGCGATGTTCTACGACACTGAGTCCGCATTTGTGACCATTGACAGCAGCAGTTTTGTGACTCTGACGGGCTGCAGGATGGGCTCGACGGGGTTGTCGGTATCCTTGCTGAAGCGGATTGAGGACGGTTACCGTTTCGTTGCTGGGTGTCTGACGGTCGCGGGACGGGAGGTGACGACAGCGGCTGAACTGGAGCTGAACGGCATCACAGGCGTGACGACGGCTGCTGTGTGCGGGCAGTGCACGAAGGAGGGCGACTGCTTTGCTCCGCTGACGACGGCGGCCATTGACTGCAAGTG